AAATATATGATATTGCTTGACCTCTCAAAGTTCATAAATCGCTATATTGACTAAAACTATCGTTAGGAATTAGGAGATATTCTTTCAATGAACCGAACGGTAGTATTTTTGTTTTCATAGCATTCGCCTAACCGAAGATTTTAATCTGTAAAGTCATATTGCGGCATTGCGCGTGCAACATGTTACTAATTTAAATAGGGACCGGCCGAGAATATTAATATACTCAGTCGCGAAAGCCGACTTTTCTATGTCAAAACGCCCCAGGCCACGTTTCATGAAACAGAAACTTGAACACTGATACCAAGAAGAGTTATTGTGTGTTTTTTTGTTACTTTGTGTTTAAAATATGACCAAATTTTAGGCCAGAATCATGGGCTCAGAACGCAGGAAATGGCATTTCCGGGGTTCAAATTTCAAATTTCCCCCGGACCCCCCTAGTTATGCGAGACCTAGGAATATGATACGGTCACATTTTAAGCTAGATCCGCCCCTGGGGTATTACAGATTTCTGGGTTTGGTGGATACTCCAAGTGAGCATACATACATATCAGTTAAGACCTAACCAGGAACTGTTGCAAAAAATGCAACACTAGGTTCTCGGGCAGATTACAGAGGCCAGTTGCCAAACTGTAACCGAAGATTCAATTTGCATTTTTTGCAACAGTTCCAGGTTTTTTTTAATTGTGTATATGTACAGTATGCTCAGTTTGATTATCCACCAAATCTAGTATTCTTGTTCAACCAAATGAAATGCCTTATTATACAGATTTCCCATATGGTAAATTGGTAAAAAACATGTTCAATGTTTACCATTAATGGTATTTTCCTGGTAAATATTAACACATTAAGTACCAGAGCTCTCCCAGACTACATGATGAGTAAAATAGTCTGGCGTTAGACAGAGTAAAATAATATTGCATTAGACAGAGTAAAATAATAAAGTAGGGCACAATGCGACTTGATGGGTTTAAAACATGGTTTTTACTAATTTACCATATGGAAAATCTATAAATACTAGATAAACATGAGCAGCCGATCTGTATCTGATATACAAACTCGAGCCGAAGGCGAGAGTTTGTATATCAGATGCAGATCGGATGCGAATGTTTTATCGTACTTAATTTAAAAAATGACTCATCTTATGAGTTCATTTGTGAAGCAATTTTGAAAATAAACATTGTCTAAGCCGAGAAAATCAAAGCTGAACTTTATGTAAATCAGGACAAATCTTTATCCGATTTACAAACATTGATTAAACATTCATTTCTTTTGTATTTTCCTCGTGAATTATTAATGAATTTTTTTATAACCAATATTGGTAAGAGTTAAGTATAAATACATTAAATGATATGTAATAATTATTTTTATCCTAAAACAATAGTGACGCCCATATATAAGTGTCCCCCATATGCTTGTATGATGTTACTCTGAGTGTTTATCCACACCGGGCAGGCTTGAAAAATATGCCTGGCCACGGTGGGAATCGAGTCTACAACCTTTGGAATACTAGCCCAACGCTCTGCCAACAGAGCTACACGGTCAGGTCGGTTGGAGTATGCAATATTTCGGAAATGAGTCTATAGTTCCTTCGATATCAGTCTGATCTAATTATCATGGTATTTGCTGTGTTGGTGTAATGTAATCAGGTGAATAAGATGCTTGTGTGATGTTACTCTGAGTGTATATCCACACCGGGCCACCGGGCAGGCTTGAAAAATATGCCTGGCCATAGTGGGAATCTCCCCCATATGTTGCCCCTGGTCTATAAGCCCATCAAAAACGCTTAAGTATGAATAATGAATATACACCCGGTATTCTGAGATTAATTATGATTCTATGGTAAACCAAACTCAAACCAACCTTTCGAACATCAAGAGAGCATCTCTTCCATATCCCAGCAGCTGTTTTGCTCATTGCAGTGAGATCTTCATCTGGCAAACTGTCCTCAATCTGACCCTAAAATTAAAAAAGTTTATATTTTTGTTTGCATATGACCATATCATATGTTTATATAAATATGTTATGTGAAATAAACTTATATGCGAAGTGAACTTCAGCTTTAGCCATGGATAATCAAAAATGCATGGTTTGTAGTTAATATAGATATATTTTTTATAATATATCTAGAAACATACATACTGAAAATATATGAATAGTATTTAATAGGAAGTGGATATTCGTCCGACATTTCCATAATCGTTAAACTCGTTAAAAAGAAAACAGCGTAAATTTAATTGAATTTGATTTAGGCACCTGTATTGCGTGCGCCAAGTTCTGGGATCGATTCCTGCTCGCGCGACTATTTTATTATTTTTTTTATACTTTTTTTCTTCGTGGTTTTCGCTTACGCACCGCGTACGAAACGTATAGCGTATAGAATATGTCTATTGTTGTTGCTTCCTTCTTAAGAAACAACGCAACCGTTTAGTGGTTTAGTGTTAGCTTTTAAAGCGTCGGAAGAATAGCCGTGAAGTAGGAAGATCCGGTGACGGACGAATATCCACAGGGTATTTAATATTGTTGCCAATATTGGCATCTTCCAATTCCTCTGTATTTCGTTCTGAGATGGTTTTCTACAATCTATTTGGAATATTTTACGATACTTCAACATTAAAATAATCAATTTTAAAAGATACTTACTGCAACACTCTTGTAGAAGGCATGATAACCGGCAAACCGAATCGACTGCTTTGCGTTTCCACTGCTACGTATACCGCCATCTTTTCAAAAATCTGAACATATTTATCATGCCGCGCGAAATCTTTTCATCGACTTGGTGTAAGATGTCACCAAATGGTTTCACGCGCTAATTATCGCTGGGGCGATCTGGGAACGAGATTAATGATGTGTTCGACCATCAATGATGTGGTCGACCGTCGGCGGTTTCGAAATTTGCGTCGACGCAACAGAAGTGTTGCTAAAATATTGCACCAATTCGTTTCCTCAAGTTGATCAATTCATTTGATAGAAAATTGATCAACTTCCTGTTACTTCGAGATCAGCCAATTAGATTTCGTTTCAGAACCGATTGACCAATAGGAAACGCACAGGAAGTAAAAAGAAATTTGAATCCGTATGAATTGATCAACTTGAGGAAATAAATTGATGCAATATTTTATCAACACTTCCATTCAATCGACAGTTAAAATTTCCATAATAGAAAATGCGATTTGTCTGCCTGCAAACAGTTTAACCCACTTTGGAACATTTTCCAGGTTGTGGACATTCGTTCCACACGTCGCCAAGCTTGTCAAAGCAACGTTTTTGGCAACTCGAGGGGACAAAGCTTTGAAGGGGACGAAAGCGATGACGACGGCCACCAACCAGAAGACGAACAGAACGAAACCCTTTGTTGTGAACAGTTTGTTAGAAAACATAAGCCTTTGGCGAAGGTTTGACATTCCTCTACTTTAGTTTTAACTGCCAATGTTATTATTATTATTATTATTATTATGAACTATATTTGAATACGGTACAATTTCACCTATACTAAAATTTATTATGTACAAGATATAAAAAGAAAAATAAGTGATCTTCCAACCGGCCGTGCTCACACAAGCAGAAATAAGAAATAATTACAAGAAAATTATTTTAGGAAACAATGGCAGGATTACTTGATGTTAATTTGCATGCTTCAAGTTAGACTTAAAATTAGCAATAGTTGTTGATGCTTTTGCCGATGCAGGAAGGCAGTTCCAGACTTCCGTACCTCTGTAGGAGAATGCATTTTTCATACTATTTGTTTTTGGTTTAGGCAATGTCAGATCGGCTCCCGACTGTCTTGTGTGATGGTCGTGTACATCACTCACATTTTCATGTGATACTGCACCTGTCAGTCATGGATCGTTGTGACGCATTTCCGCATTCCAGATAGGGAATATTTAAAAACATTGACTATACTACACTGCAAAGAACGCCTAGCCTGTAATGTTGTTGAAAACAGGCCTGAACAATATTTTGCCGCTCATTTGTCAACAATATTGTCCGGCTAAACAATAAGATTTGTCTATGAAAAAGTGGCAAGCTTTAATTCCTTAAGTCGCGAGAATAGAAATATTATCATTCATATACTATTTTCAAGAATACAGTAATGAAAGAAATCAATGACTCTTGTTGCAGCATACACTTTTATAGGCTTTTTGAGTTATCACGTAGAAAACCATGGGAAAAAAATAGACCCAGAGACATGTGCATGCACAACATGCAGTCTCATAGCTGATCAGGTGTTAAATAATTGAACAATCACTCGTTGCTAGCAAGTATTTTACTACAAAGATTTTGGACATCTTGTGCGAAATAACTGAACGTAGCTTGGATTTTTGTAGATATAATTTACAACAGAACATTTTATACACAATTTTGACCTAACCGGGAGCATGCACGTGCGAATAATGCACGGCAGAGGCGCAGTTTGACAGATTTCCGTTCGAAAACTCCATCTAGAAAAATCCCATCCAATAATATTTAATATTGTGTTATGCATGGCTGAAAGGTTTTTTTTTTATAAAAACGAAACTTTAATTTCTAAAAGTGATTATTTATACTTAATACTTGTAGTTTAACAAATTCTTGTCGGACTATGTTTTTTAAATACGCGAATATTAATGACTTCAAGAAGAAGAAGACATATTGAAATTGGAAGTGTTTTATTATTTATACGCACGTGCGTGCTTTTAATATTAGTAGTTACATTTAATAATATTACAGGGTATATTTTACTAATTATAATGACATGCCATTGTGATTTGAAAAAATCAAAAACTAGTTTTGTACAGTAGTTTATATTATTTTAATATTGTGTGATAATATGAATAAAGTTTATAGGATGTATTAGCTACATTATTGGTTCAGTAATAATAACTTTGCCATAATATTCTTACATTATATTTATTACATATATACAACGTATAGTTTCATTACTATTGGTAACAATATTTTATAATATATGCACTGTGTAGATCTTTACTGTGAGTTTTATCATATCTCTTCACTTGTAGGCCTAATATTAGTAAGGTACTAAATAACTACAATCATGCTTACTATTTTATTTATGCCAATTCAATTAGGGATATGGTTGCTACTTTACAATTAGGAAGTTGTGCTCATTTTTAAATAGATAATAAAAATAGTAAAGCGCGGTCAAAGAGGATGAGACATGCAGTTGCGCATTATGACCGGGATATTTCAAGCTCTAGGTTAATAACATAAAGGTTTGATAAATTTTGCAACTACATTTTAATTTAAAATACATGATATTGCGGGGGAAAGCTTTAATTAGGAACGGCTAACTAAGATCGGGTGGTTGTGAACTCTCATGCATGCATGCACTCTGCTCCTCGTTTGTTCCGGACTTTAGATTCATAGTTCTCCACGATTTCGATGCCATGTTTCCACAAACGCTTTGGTAGGAAGTCGGGTATATGCAACTTTGCTATGTCGTAATCCAGAACTGTTATGTTGTCTTCGTTACCTGGATTTGGGAGCAATTTTTTTAATTTCTCCAGCGTTTCACCGTGCTCCATAGATATAGCATCAGAATTAGTTAAACTTTCTTCGAACTGCCAGGCCAGTTTTCCCAAACGTTTGCTGTTTCCATGGCGGATACAATTAACGATGAAATAATAGTGATTGATTGTACGACGATCGTTGATGTACTTGCCTAAATGCCTTTTGCATCCTCGTGCTTGATATTTTGCAGACCATCGATTTGGTCAAAGTTACGATCCCACAAAATTATCTCATTCAGAGCTCTTTTGGGCTCTTCTTGAGTCGGAGATCGACGCCTGCCCCACTTGTAACACTTCGCCAGTCGTCCAAACTTCATTAGACTTGTTGTCATCTTAAGTATGTCCAACATATCTTTCATTACGTTTTTCCATTCTGGAGACATCGTTGTTTCTATTTCAGATTCTACAAGATCAAGATCGCTTAAATATGGATGTACTTTGCAATTTCTCTCAATTCGTAGAGTGTCTACTACTTTCTGATGTTCGTCTGTCCAAATGTTTAATTTACGTTGTATTTCAGTCCAACGATTGCCCATCGGGTTTTTTAATCCCATCAGGTAGTTTTCCATTTGACTAAACTTGCCACTTTTATGGATCTTCTTTGAAGAGTCGACTACAAATCTTGCCAAATGTGCTTCCCACAACCACGTTGCCTCGACTACAGCGAGTTCCTTTTGTAACTTTTCATTTTTGGTTTTCTGGCTTTCCACTTCCTTCTTTAAACTATTTATTTCGTCCCAAAGTTTTTTATTTTGTATTTCCTGATCTTCCAAAAGATCTTGAACTTGTCCACGCAAGTTTTCCAATCGCTTTCGAAGTGCATCATCTCCAAGTTTCTTAATCTCGTTTTCCACTCCCTTCAGTGCCTCTAAAAGAGTTTTCTTGGGCGTGTTTTCGGGCGAGACGTCACAATGAGAGCTTTTCCTCCTCTTATTGGGTGGTTCATGCGTTGATTCTTTTCTGGAAACCATGTCGAGCTGAAAATTAAAATACATTTTAAGAATATTGGAAATTTTTATTTACATGTTTTAAACATGAGCGGTTTTAATCTTTCTCAGCGCGTGGTTTCGCATTACATTACGATTCAAATTTTCTAATGTAAATATCTCGGCGAGTATATAACCCCCTTTAAAATAAAACCCACCATTGAAATCCTCATAAAATAACCTTTCGAACGGGTGGTCAAGTGCCGTCAAAACAGTACACAAACCGAAACAATCATATATTTATACTTCACCGCTTGGCCAAACATTAAAACGGGAAAAGAGAAAAAAGGTGAATATTTTCTAAACCTTTCGTCATTTTCTGAGAGGCTATATGAGTAAAATACTCTTTGTATTCAAACGCTTTCGTGTAGAAAGTTTCGTATGAATACGGCGAGTAGAAATATTTATTTTGAATTTTTCAAAGTATCAGGTTTTATTTTCGCACGCGCGTGTATTACGCAATACTTAGCCAATAAGGAGCTCCTTTAGCCAGGATGACGTCAAACTCACGCGTATAGGTGCACTTTGACCTGTAGAATCCATTTCTGGCATTTCCAGAGACACGCGATACAAATGTGGCATTGTTTTGACGATATTTAGTCGTATTTCCGGTTGGGATTATCGCAAATTCAGGCCAGAAATGTAAAATTCGGCACTAAAAGTCACACTTTAAAGATAGAAGCTTGAAAATAACACTATACATGGTATTTTCAATGCTTAATTCATCAAGAATATCAAAATGAGCATACGTCTCAAGGGGCCGAAGTTATGTTCGGCGAAAGGTATGTTTATGTTTTTATAATTTGTTGGTAATAATGCGTAATTTGATCATATACGATCTCGCTTTACTTTCAAAGCTCATAAATCGCTATAATGTTGTCATTGACTAAAACTATCGTTACGAATGAAGAGATTTCGTTACACTGAATCGAACGGTGGTATTTTTGTCCACATAGCATTCAACGAACCGAAGATATGACATGTCAAAGTCGTATTGCATGAGTACATTACGATAATAGGGTCGCGCTGAGAAAGAGTTAAATTAAACCGACATTTCCGAAGAGTCTGATTCTGACTCAGCTGTAGAAACTTAAAGGAACGCCTGAAAAGAAAACAAAAAAGTTTTACACACAATAATTCAGGCAAAAATAATTGAAATATCTGTTTTATCCAGTCTGACTGAAATTTTAAGAAATTCCTTAAAAAAATCCTTAAAAATGGGACTCCTTAGTTAAAAACCTTGCAAATTTCCTTAAATGTGAGAGTGCTGATCTTTCGCATCGAAGAGCAAAAATATAGACTTTCAGATAGGGAATTATATCCAGAGTTGAAAAAAGCCAGGGAAGCGGGAAACAAGGCAAAACTTGTAAGGGACAAACTCGTAATCGAAGGACAAGTATTTTACAAGCCGACATGATGCTAAGATATCATATTTCAGTGCACTATAGTACTAGTATGTATGCTTTTATTATATTGCCTCAGTTCAGTAACTTTAATATTTGGTTATGTCTGGTAGTAACACTGTTGACTCCTTGCCATTTCATTCACTCTCCAACAATGAATTTAATCTTATAAACCACGATTCGGAAAACAGATTCTGTCAAATTGATATGGATAGACTTGAAATTCAATCCATTTAAAAAAAATAATGATATAGCCTTAAGTGAAAACAATGTCAACCTTGACATGTCTTTTGAGGTGAATAAAGTTAACTGCAATTATTATTTACCAAATGATTTTAATGAAGAAACTAAAGAAATTAATAACAAAAATAATTTTGCGCTACTACATTTAAATATAAGAAGTATAACAAATAAATTTGAAATGTTGAAAGATTTAGTAACGTCATTAAATAAATCGTTTCAAATTATAGGATTAACCAAAACATGGTTGAATGATATAAACAAAGACAATTTTAATTTACCAGACTATGATTATATAGGATCAAATAGAGAAAATAAAAGAGGTGGAGGGGTAGGCATGTATGTCTCAAAACAACTGCAATATAAAATTCGAAATGATATAAGTATAAACGTAGAAAACGGAATTGAAACCTCTTTTATCGAAATATGTACATCTAAAGGTAAGAATATAATTGTAGGAACAATCTATAGGCCACCAAATAATAAGATTGACACATTTGAAAACTCAATGAAAAGAATATTAGAGAAAATCGATAAAGAAAATAAAATTGGCTATCTTATGGGGGACTTTAATATTGATCTACTTAAATCGGAATCTTGTGATTATGCAGGCCAATTTACCGAACAACTTTTCACATCTTCTTATTATCCACTCATAACAAAGCCAACAAGAATAACTGCTCACACTGCAACACTTATTGACAATATTTTCACCAACAACATTGAAAATATTGATTCTAGTCTCAACGGAATTATTTTTAGCGACATCTCAGATCATTTGCCAATAGTACATATATGTAATATGGATAGTAATAGTTTTAATATAAGAAAAAAAGTGACCAAAACCTCAAAATATAAACGAGTAATTAATAATGCAAATATTAAATCTTTCACAAATACAATAAAAAATATATCATGGGACAATGTAATTGATAATAATAATCCTGAAGAGGCTTTTGACAAATTTTCCCAATCTTTTACAGAAGCTTATGAAACAAGCTTTCCAGTAAAATTGATTAAAGAAAAGATTGATAATAATAAGAGCCCATGGATGACATACTCCATCTTAAAATCAGTAAATAGGAAACATAAACTTTACAAGGCATACTTACTAAACTCGAATAAAAGGAATGAAAATACATATAAAAGATATAAAAATAAATTAAATCATATAATAAAAGTGTCAAAGAAACTGTATTATGAAGAGCAACTAATAAAATATAAAAACGATACAAAGATGATATGGTATACCTTAAATAAAGCTCTTAATAAAAACAGGAAAAAGAAGGAAATGCCAAAATCATTTGTTGGAAACAATTCCATGGATATAATAGATGATCCAAAGAAAATAGCTAATGGATTCAATGAATACTTTATCAATGTTGGACCAAATCTAGCAAAAAAAATTAAAGAGAACCCAGACATGACTTTTGATAATTACCTCACTAGTAATTATCCCAACAGTATGTTTCTTGATCCGATTACTGAAAATGAATT